AAATTGGAAAATGAATCTATCGTATTGTGTTCTATCCAAATATCGATACCTTTGAAGCCCAACACTCGTATCCTTCTTGGGGTTTAAGGTCGGCAGGATGTTGAATGTGATCAGAATCACTCAGTTGACAGACCCTGAATCCGTTCTTGCTGGGTGGGCCAACGTTGACGGACACACAGGTATTTTCCATGAGACACCTATTTTTTGCAGTCGCTATCTGGCTTAATTCCCATGGATAAATATATTTGTTTGAAAACGTGCTGTTGCAGAGCATATCCTTCAATTGGCTTCTCAAACATGAGACTTCGACTGTGAATACCTGCAACTGATTAGGTAGAGATATGATGACAAGCATGTTGGACCTTTTTTGCTTCAAACAGTATAACAAACTCTTCCACGTTTCTGTTTCATGTTAAATCAGCAATGGTGTAATGGCAGGTTAGTCGTTAATTTTGCACAAATGAGAAATCGTCTTAAAAGAGAAAGTGCCGGCTAAAATATTGCTCAGCTCAAACATATCACTTGTCCGAGCCGTCCAGGAGATTATTGACCCTCAGTTGTTTCTGTGCGGACCCAGCGCTGTGACATTAGGCCAATATTCCCCAGTACGACCCCCTCGCTCGGTTGGTAAGAAGTCAGTATTCAAGGCTTTTGACTGACATTTCATCCTACGAGATTTCGTAAGCAGAGCTATATATCTCGCAAAGTTGAAGCAAAATTACGATAGAATTTTACATCATACGGCTATATTTTTTAACTGGATAATTCTGAGGAAGAAAAAGACTGAAGGAGTTAAAGGTACGGGCTGTACAAAGATGATATTTCGAAACGGTATGAATTTACTTCTCGAAGTGTTTCTCTATGTAACAGTTCTGTATAAATTGTCGCGTTTCCTTTAAATCGATCACATCGTACAAAAATTGTGACAAAAAAATCAGCTTTTACTCGAAGTGTTTTAAGACTGAAATTTATCATTTCTACATGTTTTGGAAGAGCGTTGGATTTTAAACAGTGCTGTATGAAAATTTCGTTTTTTTCTCATTACTAATTGAAGCTTTCTTCATTATTTAGAAAGAAGATATTTTTTGGAATACAAACATATCCTTGTAATAAGATACAGCTTATTCAGTGGTATGACAACGAAGATGGAGAAAAAAAGTGAAAGGGGGGTTAAAGGAACAAAAAATAAACGTCTTCCCCAAAGAGCGCTGGCGTCCTCAATCCCCCCTCCCTCCCCCTCTTCCTTTTTGATTGGAGCAATGTGAACTGAGCCATGTTGACAAAATATTTAAAAAGCTGGAAAAACAAAGTGAAATGAAACTAAGAGACGTAAAAGTGTAGCGTATCTTAAAAGTTTACCACAAGTTGGGAAAATATATCGAAAAGTTGATGTAAAAGAAAAATTCCACCACCGGAAAAAAAGAGGATAAAAGAAACCATTTACACCGGAAAAAAAAAGCAGAAGCATTTTGTCCCATTAAATTTACGAAATAGGAAGAAGAATATTAATTAAAATACCATACTCACTCGATTTCCAAGTTGGGAAATGAAATCAATAGCAAAATTAAGCTTAAACGCGACGAGTCGATGGGGAAAATGAAAATCTCACCCTCAGTAGGTAAAGGAGACTTTCTTAATAAGAATTTAACTGGACTTTTTTAGGCAGTTAATAAATCGCATATTAGATTAAAGTTGCATTAAGTGAGGAGAGGAGTGAATCAAATTCTTTACCTTGGTTTCCTTCTGTAAAACAGAGAAGCCATCCTCCCACAGAAAAATATTTAAAAGCGAAGACAAAAATAAAGAACAGCTCTCTTCAATCCTCAACATAACATTAGGGAATGATTCCCAAATCTTACTTTTGAAGGGAGAAGCGTGAGTCTAGCACTATTTAAGCGTTCGCAAAGTCTTTGACAGATTCGTCGCTGACAAACTGTATCAATTATTGATAAGTATCAATGCGATACTCAACTGACATACACGCCCTCTCGTTTTTAGGCAATTATTCCCTCCACCTGGGAGATGAGAATCAATTTGACTTGACTTTCTAAGCCCATAACGACCAGCTGATATTCGATGAGTTTTCGAGCCCCATTTGCTGAAACACTTCTATAACTTGAATGTACTGAATTACTGCGATCAGTGACAGAGGAGATTGTGACATGAGACTTTTCATCACGATCAAACAGAGCAATGTGAAATTTTGCAAAGAATGAAGACATTCATTTGCGTTGGGAAGTCAAAATATTGACTTAACCTATGCATACGTCTGTTTGACAACACATAAACATAATATTTCACAGCCTTGGAGTTCTTGGAAAATTTAATTGCTTGCCACCTGTGCATTGCGCTGTTTATCTTTAACACATTACTGGATGAAAAGAAAAGGATTTATAATGAAGCAACTTCTTTGGAAAAGCTCTAAGATGCTCCAAAGGAATCGGTTAAATCCCTTGTAGTGATCATGAAAGGAAGCACCTTTTGTTTACATCTGCAGATTAATTTTTTCAGCATTAAGCATGACATTTTTAGATAGAATTTGGTGTAAAAGACAAGGATTCTTCCCCTAAAGTAGACAATTTTTAGGTATTTTTTGTACTCGTTTCTTCTGCAGCTGCAGCCACAGCAAAATTCCAAGCCCCAATTTCTGGTTAGCTTCCCATTTAATGTATATTGCACTGTACTCAGTTTTCAGTGTCTCCTGAAGATGTACCAATCCTTAATCTAATAGGCCCAGCACTGGGAGTTTATCTTTCAAAATTACCCAAATATTTTTGTGTCAGAAATGTTCTTTCTTTAGAGAAGAGAACGAGGTGTCAAATCGAAATTTGCTCTAAGGACAGGGGGGGAGGGGGGGGGGCAATCTCTAAATGAAGGTAGTCCTGCTAAGTTTCTTTGTTTATTCATTGGTCCTTCGACTTTAGTTTGAAATTGATTTTTAGACTAGACGTAGCCGGATTTTATCATTCACGCGAAAAATGGAAAAGGAAGGTGATGGTAATTTGCAATAGTTCTGCTCGATCATGGCCTGTACAGTCAAGAAAAACACAAACAATGTACTGGAGAGTATTTTTTTATTGCTAGCACTAAACCTCCAGTCTCACCTACGATGTAGCAACAGCTTTATAATGTTTTGAAATGAAATAAAATTTCAGGAACACTTTTCTCCTTTAAAAGTTTCATGCGGAGACGCTCAGTTAAACCTTGCCTTGTGTCAAATTTACAGCTGTTATAATACCTCTAAGTTTTATTCAAGGTAATGTTAACGTTAGGCAAGGTACATCAACATCAAGCTTCTTCTGTTCGAGGGAAACAGAGATTCAACCATCTTTTCCCCCCCTCTCGACTGGACCTAAGCACATAGAGCAGTCTTTCTCTTTCTAGGTCAAACAAAAAACTTTTTAGCCCATGGCATCGATATCTCTTTGTTACCAAAAGTGTATATTCGAAATACATGGTTAGCGTACTTTTCTTTCTCCAGAATATTCTACTAAAAAGCGTGATATAAATTCTCGTAAAAGGTATGTTGGAAAACCAAATGTAGGTCATGCAGTTATCTAGGACTACAAGTAAATGTAGATGTTATCACTTAAGTCAAACACTTGTGCAATATGCATACTTCACACAACAAAAGGACCGTTTTACTTTCTATCACTACAATTTGTAATGGTAATAGGACCGAGTGGAGTCCAACTCGGTCTGTAATCATACGAGCGATTGACAAAATTACGATACGATTACAGACAGAATTTAACGAAAAGAAGTCCTCTTACCAATTAATTACAGGTTTCCGATTACAGCTGACTGTTCGATTACACTGTCCTCTTACAACTGCACAGAATGATTTTTGAAAAAACGAGGCTGCAAATGCACCAATAATATTTGAGGAATTTTTAATGGTTTTTGATTAAACCAAATACTAACAGATACGTCGTACCTAATTTTAGTCCGGAACTTTAGCTTGGCTTTACAATTTCAAGACGCGAAAAGAGAAAGCTGTTTTTGTTATACTAGTTGAAACCTTTTCCGGTTTTTTAAGTTGTCTTACCAATTTGTAATTTCTAATTATTTTCCTCGCCTAAAGGCTCGAAAAGAATTAAAATCTTAGCAAGTCGTGGGTGAAATTACCTACTTATCTCACTCTTAATTATTTGATTACGATTACTTGAGCACAAGATTATACCTTTTAGCAGCGTTGGAAAAGGCATTTGGGTTCTGACTACTCCTGTATGAGAAGCATTTGTTTGGATTCAAATTGTATTTGTTTGGATTCAAATCTATACTGATCTTCTCTTAGGATCGGTAAATAGGGTCAGCGTCATGGTGCTAACTAACAGGCAATACTTCACACTCATAAAATCGTCCAGAATTTGTTTCTCATCGTTCAAGGTTGCCCCTTGTGATGATTGGTCCATGCGTAATGTCATCTTTCCAAATGACCCTATTGCTAGGATTAACCTTTTAACTCCCAAGATCTCCTAAGTAATTCTCCTTACTGTCTGTCATACAACTGTTATGATGTTAATATGGAGAATTTGGTATTGAATCAACTAACAATTCCCGAATTGATATTTTTCTTTATTCTCATCACTTGTATGCTTAATATTGTATTGATAATGTAAGAAGAATTTATTTCTTGGTCACTCATGGGAGGTAAAGGGTTAAACAGCATTTGCTCAAATGGTTGGTGACATAGGCTACTTAAACAAGAAAACCGAATTTCATTCCTTTAACTTCAAAGTTGATGATATTTGATCGAGTTTAAGTTCAATCCATTATCAGAGGTACAACTTGTGAAATCTGTCTGCGAGAAAAAAATCATTACTATCTCAAATTGTTTGGGCTTTTTTTTTGCCTTTTTAGTCATAGATTAGGGCCTCCTTTAATTTCGGGCCAAATTATACTTTTAGTGACTGCTATCAGTCAACTGGAATACCAATCATACAGAGTTGAATTCTAATTCCGTCATCACTATATTTGATTACAAGTACTTTTTCATTTCAGAGTAATGTGATAGTCACCTGACCATGACCAGCCGTACTATAACAACATGTATTGTCCTGGTTGTTTCCATCGTTGTAAGAGCCACCCCCTCCTCCACAGGAACTATACCTAGCATCTCCACTGCTTCCCCCAGAGTACCCTCCTCCTCCTCCTCCTCCTGCTCCTTTCGGTCCATAAGCTCCTCTTCCTCCTCCTCCACCAAACCCACCAACAACATTGAGATCTACTGATCTCCCACCCACCCCTCCCTGTAGAAATCCCTTACCATCCTTTCCACTTCTTCCACTGGAGTTAAACCCGCCACCACCACCCCCTGAGAAAATAACAAACAAAAACCATTGATGATTATTGTCGTAGACTTTGCTTTTTTTGAATCCCCTAATGTACCTATATCAACGTGGTCATACCTGTGTATGATGTATTTCTATTGAGCTGCCATCCGTTAGGTTTAATATTTTTACATGTGTCTATATTATCCCTATATGCATAAACTGGTCCTTTTCCTAGGTAGTCTCAGTGTTTATTGTTGTTTTTTTGGGGGGGACTAGGGCCGATTGTTTAAATTTGAAGCATACATTAACAAATTCATTAATGAGGTGCTGAGAGGTAAGGGATCATCACAGTATTATCTTACCTGAATAATAATCATCAGCAGTTTGAGCTCCATGCCCATTGCTCCCCCCTGACCATGATTTGTATCCAGGATTCCCCGTTGTATTTGTACTGGCGTCGCATCCTTTATGCCTTGACATAACATTTTGTGTGCCTCCTCCGCCTCCAGCTATTATCAAAGGTGTGTCGGCTCCTCTCACTACAAATGTACCTCCACCACCGCCAGAGGATTCCGTTATCTTGTTTATTCCTCCTTCTTGACCGACAATTATCTGAATGACCTCACCCTTGTTCAAGCGGAATGTCCCAATCATTCTTGCTCCTCTTCCTCGGTACTGAGAGCTGTTAATCCCTTGATCGTACCCTCCTGCTGCTCCTATTGCTTCTATTCTGTAGTCACCAGTGTACGGCACAGTCCACTGTTGAATACCGCTGGACAATGTAACTTGTCCGTCATGATCCTGACCTGTGTAATGACTACTCAGCGATGTTGGACCATATCTTCCAGTGGCATCGAGATTTGTCAAAACTGCTTTGAATGCTGAAGGGCAAAAAAGGTTCAACTCAACCTCTTTTCATATTATAAGTTCTTTCGTTTATTAAAAAGTATAGTCAAGCTTTCTTATTACCTATGTTTATTTTATTGGTTTTTCATCTTGATATGTCAAGTCACCATTCTATCAGTTTTAAAAGAGATGGTGAAAAGATCGAGTGGAGTTTTGATTCGGTCTGTAAATACACGAATGATTAACAAAATCTGACGACGGTATAGCTGGAGTTTTCCAACGATTTCTTTTCCGTCAGATGTTTGTTTGTTTTTTTTTACAACATAACGCAATAAACACAGGGAACAATGGAAAAACAGCAAAGCTACCAAAAGCCAAACTGGATTTTGCGCGCCGTAATTTTTATTTTTTGGGTGCCTCGATTTTTAATTCGTTACCTTCAGGTTTAAGGAACATAAATTCTGGAGTTTTCATTTAGGAAAGTCCGGACGATTATTACTTGTAGTTTCCATTGTTGTTTTAATTGTTTTTAACTTAGTGTATTTTTGTTTTAATAGATTTTATCTTATATATATTTTAATTTCTTATTTCTGAGTTTTTAATCTTAATCAAAAGGACCTTGTTGATAACAGTACTTTTTATTGAAGGGTTATACTGAATAAATAATTCGATTATAATCATCATTATTATTATTCTCGGAATTTTTTTTTTGCTTCTATTCTTGTCTTTAACTGTTTTTACTCGCTCCGTTTTGACCTTTTCTTTTTGAGCGTGTTCTTGCCTTTCTTTGGCAAAATTGAATTATGGTAGAATAAAAAAGGTTTGTAATCTAGGAATGCTACATTACTAAAAATATATTGCAGTGATTACTCTGAACTTAACCATGAAATTTCATCTTTCTCCCTTAAAACCTTCTTTACATCTATAATTGTAAGACTTCTCGATATTATAAACACAGCCTTGGCATGGCAGTTATGGGTATTGTTAGAGCACGAGATGACACGAAGTATCCCAGAGGACGCGAGTATTGAAATGAAACAAAAACCCAAAATGGGTACAAAGTGTTATACTTGCATCGTAACTACTCGAAGGACATATGTAAATTTACGCTACGAAACTTAAACTGATATAAAGGACACATACATGAAATAGTAAATATGCGTGATGCAACGCATAGTGGTCCTCACCTTTTTCACAATGTTCTCCCTTGTAACCAGCCTGACACACACATTTGTATCCCTTGTCCGTAAATCCAACCAGGCAAGTTGCGTTCTTATGGCACATACTGAGGCAACACTTGTTCTGGTGAAAACATATTTTACCTTCAGACATGGTTTGATGCTACTCTGGTTGAAAGATTTAATGAATGTAACCAAAAAGTTACAATTCATAGACGCAACGTTTCGAAACTCCTTTCTAGTGTCTTAATCAGAGGTGATGAGAAGTGATGAAGAAGACACTAAACAGGAATGTCGAAACGTTGGGTCTATTAAATGTAACTTCTCGGTTACATTCATTAAATCTTTTAAACCAGAGTAACACGAAACCATGTCTGATTGTCTACTTGGTTGCCATGTGAACTTTGATATATATATTTGCCTTATTTTTCATAAAGATGCTATACACGCTCGGATTGATAATAACTCTTTTGATATATTATGAGAACACAAAAAGAGTACAAAAACTTGTCCTTAAATGGTCTCAGATACGACATGGAAAAATTTTTCTGGCGTTATAAAAGATCTTACAACATCCCAGAAATGTTATGTGGCACTCTGGGTCCTAATCAATCGGATAGAGTTATTTAGTACCATGCGGCTCAAATGGACTGATCGTATAACGTAACGTGGCTATATCGATTGGCAGGTGTGGAAGAATGCTCTTGTGGTGTAAGGGAATTGGAAAAGTTTTAAAAAGCAGCGAGTCTTAAGTACCAGATTCAAGTGGTGTCGTTGAATAAGCTTCACCTGACTATTTTCAAGGGTCCTTGCAAAGATTGAACCGGTGCAAGTAGATGGACATCACCATCATGGTTTCGCATCGTAAGGAGGAATCTTGAGCAAATCGTCACGAATGCGACTGTGCATTTAATACAGATGATTATGATCATCATACTTGCGGAGGAAAGAAATGTTTCTCGTGTCATCGCCGTAATTGTCCTGGAAAACGTCAAAGTGACACTTCTCTTCAGATGTGCTGTGTATGTCTACGTTCGTTTTATGGAGAAGTTTATTATCGGTATCATAGACTCGACCCAATCCTTGCGTGAATCTATTTGCAAAACGTACAAATAATTTTTCCGAATTATTTAAGGAAGTCGAAAACAGCCACAAGAAAGAATCAAAATAGGGATGATCGAAGATCCATAGTCGCCAAATATCGATGAGGAGTGGCCAAATGCCAAGTCTGTGGGGAATATGTCAACATAAGTGTTACATTAAACAGGCAAAAAAAAAAAAAAACGAGTAGGACGTTATGTTGAAGATTGCAACATCATCCTATTCTCTTGTGTTGAAAGACAGCCGCTAACGATGAGAAGGCGCAGGAGTTTTGCGTTGAAAATTGTTCCGAAGAATTTTGTTTTCGATTTCTTGAATGAAGTGGCCGTGAGCGAAAATGGATTTTAATGGTCTGTCGAGGTATTGTTTCATAATCTTAAAGGATACGATGGGATGTTTGTTTTGGAAGAACTTTTCGACAGCATCGTATGGTCGAGAATCAAGTCTGTGTGGGAACCAAACTCCTATCTGTGACATCAGGTCCTATCACGTTCGACTCGTTTTATTTCTTTCCCTTCTTTGACTTCGTTTCCTAATTTTTCACTCATTTGTTTAACACAAGTAAAAATCAAAATTACGACGGACTCTTGCCGCCTGCGACACGTTTTATCATAACGGTATGCGTCACGACAATCGACGAGAATTTGAGACCTGGTTCCATGATAAAATTCGACGGGATGTGAACTCTCATATATTTTAAGAAATGGCAGATTATTGCATCTCTCAAGCTCTTGAGAGCCGGATGTCAGAAATTCCGAAAAAATTTACTCAAGAGGCCCAATTTGATCCTATGGAACATTGTATCACTATTACCAGAGCTAGTAATATGCATTGGAGCAAACATCATCGTGGAACCACCTGGTGGTTGGCATGGGGTGCGCAATAATTAATCTACCAAAGCTTTGAAATGGTTAAAACGGATAGAACACATGCTGCGTTTGAATGACACCAAAGGAAGAGAGGAAGATCGAGTTTCGCATGCTAGGAATCGAGGGGAACGTGCGATCGTGACACCTACGTGAGTCTATAACGTTGACGGATACGATGCATACGAATTTCACGGATGTTTATGGTGCAGATGTCCTCGTTGTCATGCGATTTCTTCGGTACACCCTACTGTATTACGAGAGGAGTGTAGGAGACCATCTGTGAAGATAAGGCCTCGTTGAAACTGATGGGATACAAAGTCATCGAGGAATGGGAAGATGACTGGGATTTTGAAGCCCTACATGATCTTCTGTTGGAGGAATTTTTGAAAGATCTAGTAGTGGTTAGGCCTTGAGTCCCCGTCATGCTTTTCATGGTGTAAGAATAGGAGCTGACTGTCTGTATCAAAAGACGGACGAGACAAAAGGGAGAAAGTTCATTACATCGATGTCACTTCCGAGTATCCTTTAGAGAACAAGTACAGACCTTATTCCGTAGGAAATCCCCACATATTCACGATTTGAAAGACACAAGAGAATTCTTAACTTTTCAGATAGGCTTAGATTGACATTCCTCCTTCTGGCCGATTCTTTAATCCCGTCATATGATACTTGTGTCGTACCTGTATAGAACTTGAATAAAAGAAACCCATGCTACAACTCCGATATGTATCTGAACATACAAATGTAGAGCGTATTTTGAGAGGCACGTAGTGCACACCCAAGACTGCTAAAGTGGTAGAGAAAGGGAAGTGCATTTTGAAAATACATGAAGTGTGGCATTCCCAGAAGATCAACGCGTCCAAGGATACAAATACTTGGTTGAAAATGAGGCAAGAAGCCAGTGGAGGACCATCTCACGTGCGAACAGAAAAAGAGTTGCAATAATACATTAATAGGACGAAGAGCACGAAAGAAACCAAGTGGAACCAAGACGTATTTCTATGAATCCAGCTCAACGATCCCTGGCCAAATTGAATTCGTTCTGGGCAAAATTTCGGTGAAAGATTAAATAAACTCGCCGTGACTTCTGTGTCTTCACCTCATGAGTACTTGGACCATCTCGACGATCGTGTCATCTATCACGACACAGATTCCGTGATCCGGACAAGTTGACATCGAAAGTCACCTAAGAGAGATGAGAAGTGAATTGCTTAAGGTTTCATGACCTCCTCAGCGTAGTTCTGGAACATACGTAGTTCTGTACGACAGCTCCACCTCTTTGAAACTCTAGTTATGAAAGCTGTTGTTCTTGTCTACAAACATGGTTTTGTCCTTCCCTGATAAAGTTTATGTTTCAATTTTTCCATTTTCCTTTGAATACGCGCAGATCGACATTTGTTCAGTTCTTCCTCCTCTTCTAGTTCTTCCTCCTCTTCTAGTTCTACATCTTCTTCTAGTTCTTCCCCTTCTTCTTGTTTTTCCTCTTCTTCTTCCTCTTCCTCAAGTTCATCATCTTCTTCTAGCTCTTCATCTTCTTCTAGTTCTTCCCCTTCTTCTAGTCTCTCCTCTTCTTCTTCCTCTTCCTGTAGTTCTTCCTCTTCCTCTAGTTCTTTATCTTCTTCTGGTTCTTCCTCCTCTTCTAGTTATTCATCTTCTTCTAGTTCTTCCTCTCTATCTAGTTTTTCAACTTCTTCTGGTTCTTCGTCTTCCTCTAGTTCTTCATCTTCTTCTAGTTTTTCCTCTTCTTCTTCCTCTTATTCTAGTTCTTCATCTTCTAGTTCCTCCTCTTATTCTAGTTCTTCATCTTCTAATTCTTCATTTCCTGCTAGTTCTTCCTTTTCCTCTAGCTCTTCCTCCTCTTCAAGTTCCTATTCTTCTTCTAGTTCTTGATCTTCTTCTAGTTTTTCATCTTCTTCTAGTTCTTCAACTTTTTCTAGTTCTTTATCTTCTTCTAGTTCTTCCTCTTCTTCTAGTTCTTGATCCTCTTCTAGTTTTTCATCTTCTTCTAGTTCTTCCTCTTCTTCTAGTTCTTCAACTTTTCTAGTTCTTTATCTTCTTCTAGTTCTTCCTCCTCTTCTAGTTCTTCCTCCTCTTCTAGTTCTTCCTCCTCTTCTAGTTCTTCCTCCTCTTCTAGTTCTTCCTCCTCTTCTAGTTCTTCTTCCTCCTCTTCTAGTTCTTCCTCTTCTTCTAGTTCTTCCTCCTCTTCTAGTTCTTCCTCCTCTTCTAGTTCTTCCTCTACTTCTAGTTCTTCCTCCTCTTCTAGTTCTTCCTCCTCTTCTAGTTCTTCCTCCTCTTCTAGTTCTTCCTCCTCTTCTAGTTCTTCCTCCTCTTCTAGTTCTTCCTCCTCTTCTAGTTCTTCCTCTTCTTCTAGTTCTTCATCTTCTTCTAGTTCTTCCTCCTCTTCTAGTTCTTCCTCCTCTTCTAGTTCTTCCTCCTCTTCTGGTTCTTCCTCCTCTTCTAGTTCTTCCTCCTCTTCTAGTTCTTCCTCCTCTTCTAGTTCTTCCTCCTCTTCTAGTTCTTCCTCCTCTTCTAGTTCTTCCTCCTCTTCTAGTTCTTCCTCCTCTTCTAGTTCTTCCTCCTCTTCTAGTTCTTCCTCCTCTTCTAGTTCTTCCTCCTCTTCTAGTTCTTCCTCCTCTTCTAGTTCTTCCTCTACTTCTAGTTTTCTTCCTCTTCTGGTTCTTCTTCCTCTTCTAGTTCTTCCTCCTCTTCTAGTTCCTCCTCTTCTTTTAGTTCTGCATCTTCTTCTAGTTCTTCCTCTACTTCTACTTTTCCTCTTTCTCTAGTTTTCATCATCATCTTCTAGTTCTTCATCTACCTGTATCTCTTTATCATCTTCTAGTTTTTCATCTTCCTCTTTTTCTTCATCTTCTTCTACTTATTCCTCTTCTTCTTCCTCTTCTTTCCTCTTTTTATCTTTAAGTTCCTCCTGTTCTTCTAGTTCTTTATCTTCTAATTCTTCATTTCCTGCTAGTTCTTCCTCTACCTCTAGCTCTTCCCCCTCTTCTAGTTCCTCTTCTTCTTCTAGTTCTTCATCTTCTTCTTGTTTTTCATCTTCTAGTTCTTCCTCTTCTTCTGGTTCTTTATCTTCTAGTTTCCTCCTCTTCTTCTGGTTCTTCATCTTCTTCAAAATCTTCAT